CTTCGGAAGTGACACCCTTCGTGGTACTTGTGGAAAAGAGCATGCACTTTTCCACTAGCTCCATTTTTTGGTTTCAATGAGAGTTCTCATAGTGCAGTGAAAATAAAGAAGATGTCTTTAAAAAGGTAGAAAATGAGCATGAAGTAGGAAATTCATTAAAGAAACTTCTCTTTTCATTCGGTGGTTTTTTCGTATCTCTTGTCAAAACAGACGGAATTTCTAGTTCTCTTTTACGCGGATGTGTTCCTTTTTTTCTGACTCGAATACTAATCTCGTCAGTTTGTTCCTCTTATTTCAACACTTTTCAGAATCTTTTGAAACAAGGGATACCGTAAAACCTGTGTTAGAAGGGCCGCCCTTCTATTTTTGAAGTCTTTTAGGAGGCCCTTCTAATACAGGTTTTACGGTACTTTCGAAAACAAAGTAATCAGAAACATTTGAATAATGTTTCTAACCGACTTAAAAGTAAAGAAAAAGTGAGAAAACAATATCTCACTCTCTCCTTCTCACGAGTTCCAATTAACATTTCCCGATTGCCATAGGCAACATGGGACTATGGGAGAAAAAAAGCGAACAAAAACAAGTATTAGCAGTATTGTGTCTACATATCGGTATGGGTGTGAGAAAGAGAATAACAGAAAAAATGTATAAACAAAAAAAACTGCATGTCGGGTCAATCAACTTGATGATTACCTGTGTGCAGTCGAGGTGAAATCCGATATTTCTAGAGAAAATAATGAAGCGGTCACAGGTGCAATCTGAGAGGAAGAACATTTTGTTCAGTCGGAGAAAAAACAGCTCCGAAGAAAGATTCCAGACTTAGGGAACCACAGAGAAATGTTGCACTCGGATGTGGGCCTATAACTTCGGAGAGGAAAATTGTCTAAAAACGGCTGTAAAGCGGGCCATGGTCAGATTTTGGTCAGGAGTTGAATGTTGAAATATTACTAGGAGGGAACCGTGCTATAAGTTTGCTAGAGTTTGGTCGACTTTAGTAGCGGTCTTATTCGGAATCCTCCGACCAGAATTTGGCCACGCCCGAGCAGTATAGTTTCAATTTACTTCTCTTATCGATAAATCAAAAATGCACATTCTCCGGGAAAAGAGAAATTGTTTTCTCGGAAACTTTGTGCAGAACTGGAACTTTTTTCTCTTAGAGTTGTTGTCATGTGAACGTATACATTTTATGACGACATAATAAATCTCAGTTCGGAGTGTCTAGTATACTTTTTTAAAATTTGCTTTCTGTGAATTAAGATTTGTTCTGACCAGATTCAGAAATATTTCAGATAAAAATATCTGATAACAGAAAACATTTTTAAAAGAGTACAAAGGACCCATAATTTCAGTTGCCACTTGAAACATTCTGGAGAAGACAAGACGGCTCAGCTGCTCAGAAATCGAGGGAATTAGTTGTTTTGGCTAGTGAGAAACGTGCCGAAAAGTGCAGCAAACAAGAATCGTACTTTGAATTCCTGGAACAAAAGAGACTTAAACATAAAAAACCAACGAAGAATGAGATGAAAGAGAACGAGAATCATCGGGAATCTGTGCCCAAGAAAGAATACCAAATTGGATTTAATAGAATCGTTTTTTGAAAGGAATCCTCCACCCTCCCCCAAAGGACCATAGGACACAGAAAAGCATGTTAAACTTTCGGGAATTAAACGGAGACCCGCTAAGCGGTCAGTCAATTCAAAATATCTTTTTTCTTCTTCAGTAAAAAAGAAGCGAAGCGGAAGAGAGTCTACGAAACAATCAGTGGATATATGCTGGGGTTTTGGAAGAAAAAAAGATGCTTCACAAGGATTTGCTCATCACTTATGCGCCTACCATTTCCTGGGAAAAACGAGAAAAGGATAGGGCGTTTTAAAGCGCGAATTTTAAATTTAATGACTTTAAGAAAAGGGCACTTGCCGGTGTGAAATGCGGCGCTTGCAAGGCGTGTTGCTGATTTTTCGGAATTTTTGAAAAGGGATTTTGTTAGAAACCAGAAACAGTGAACCCAAATTTTCAAACGGATATACTCTGTTTTTATATTTTTACATCACGCTGATTTGTCTTTGCTAGAGTAATACATTTTCCAGTCACCTTTAAGGGATGCCCTTTACCTTCTCATGAATGTTGAGGTACCACTTTCCAGAATTCCTACCATTTGGGCCACCAGATAGTTGGCATTCGACTTCAAAATTAAACAATTGCTCACCTTTATTTCCAATTTTCACAATGTCAGGAATATGAAGTCAACGAATGTGTTCGGGTGGTGAGACGAACCGAAAAAAAAACAAAGAGAGTTGGGTTGGAACGTGTGAGACCCTTTTCTGCCGACTTCGTATGTGTGTATATGCAGTGAGTAGAAATATAGGCACCAAATAATAACAAATTCAATTGCTCGGCTTCACAAAAAGAACAAGTTGTGGTAGAGAAAAGAACGAACGATTTTGCATAATCGACGTTCCTAAATTTGGTTACGGGAGGAAATGGGGGGTCAAAAGTGATGAAGCAGTGGAAAGAGAGAATCACGGCGAGGGCGGATTTCATGAATAAAACGAACGAAAAGTGACAAATTGTAGGGCTCACTGATGCAGAGTCACAAAAACGGAGGAAAAACAGGAAAGAGCGAGAAATTAAGCGTGTAAAGATTTCAAAGATGCATTGAATTTTTCTAGCTTTTCTGGATTTGATGAGACGAAATAATAATAACTTCCAAAGAAACTATAAACAATTAGACAATTTCAAGAAGATCAAATACCGTAAACAGCCTATTAGAAGGCCACTCTATACTTTGAGCTCAATTATCTCAAGTTCTATGAGAGATATTTAAAATGTGGCAAGCAATAAGATGTTAGCGATAATATGATAAAATTTTATCAGTTGATAGGTTTTTGGTACCTCTTATAGGAATCGAGATAATTAAGCTCAAAGTTAGTTAGTTGCTTCACCTTAACCATACTTTTTATAACATTCGTTGGGTACGGCTTTGTCCGGAATGCCATTTTCTCTTTTTTTTTTCTGGGAAAAAGTCTTCGAGTATTAAATATTGCTGATCAAAATGTTTTATGGTATTCCTAACTTTTTTTGATAATTGAGTTTCGAATGGACGAAATTTATTATTTCCTTCCAAAACACCATTCCAATTATGTATTTATGCAGTTTGTTGATGTTTCGTGCCTATCACATTCAAACTGATTGCATTCTACTGTCTTGTGTTCAAATCACCCGTGAACACTCATCCAGACATGTTCCTTTATTCAACAAGTCGTCATTATCCAGTTCTAGCAATAAAGTGTAATAGAAGACGAAAAAGGCAACATCCATACACCGGTTATCATCATCCCCTCGCTGATTTCCTTTATCACCCCTCTCTGTCCTTTTTCTGCGTAATGCACTTTTTCACCTATTGGGGCATTTGATCATCGTTTGGCACGCATTCCTATCAGTCGCCACCAAAGGATTCCGTATCCATTCTTCTCCCGAAACGTACCTGTTGTTCGTCTCCTCCCGATTGATCTTGTCTCCAATAATCATAATGTTGTGGATTGAGTGGGGTGTACCTGCAAAATGATAAATGACGAGCGCAACTGATGATAAGGAAACGGAACACTTATAAGAATGATAAACGGAGATGAAATTGAAACGAGAAGAAGTTGGAGAAACTGATAATTTCATTTATGATAGTTTCATTATCTCGCATAGAAACGTACATTGGCTGCACTTATTGGACTATTATTCAAAATTTTTTGGGGGCTTGATTAATTTTTTTTCAATTAACCATTTAACGATCATCTGAATAACGCACTTGTCAAATTCCGGAGCGGATCGGGTAAAAAATTCTTCCGACATGGTCGGCTCGGGTAGCTGATTTTTTGATAATTCATGAGAGAAATTTATTGAATACCACCATATCAAGAAAAATTTCCTGAACCGAGCTTTTGAAATTCCAAAACCCGGTCCGGCCCGGGACAAGTATATTGAATATAAAAAAGTTTAACTTAAAATTATATTTTTTACTAGGATTTTCCTTTTAATAATAACTTTTTCCGTCTATCCTACGGGTTTTTGAAACAAGCTGGGATTCCACATGTAACATTTTGCATTGCACGTTTTCCTCATCTTCAAATATCAGGTTTCTATTTTAGGCTATTCTCAATTCCTACTGTAATCAGAATCATCTATGCTTCTTCTCTTTCTATTATCTATCATTCCAAAATATACATCATCTGATTCCTTATTCAAGAATCCTTATCCTGTTGATTCTATAGCGCTTTCGTCGTTTCCGCCCTTCTAAGCAACTCTCGATTTTTTTTGAAAGGTCTTGATCATCACCTAAAAATTCTTCTCCATACCCCAAGACTTTCACGGAAAAATGCCGAAAAAATCCAGTTAGCCATGAGAAGCGCGAAGGTTGATGATCCATCAAACAAGCGGACAACATAGCAAAAACTCGATTTTTTTCTCGCGTTTTTTCCTCAACCCATTTTATCGTTATCGACACCAGTTGGAGTTTTGCCTCCGCCCTCAGGATGATCACAATCCCCCTTTTCTGACGACGGCCCCACTCTTTTTGTCGACTATTCACAAGTGTACAAATACAGGAGATTTGTACCTTTCTCCCAAATTTATCCCTCATTATACACCTTCTTTTTCTTATCATTTCTTCCGCGCCGTCAGTTCGTGGATTCGATAGAAAGGTGAACGTCGTCTGCGCAATACATGTTGCGCAACAAAAATTTTAGGCCTGTGTACCCGTTCCATACCAACGACTAAAACCGGTGATTAAACCTAGAAGAAGAAGAATCTAGAACTGTTAGTCACGCCTTAATGACCAGATTTAGGAAGCTAGTGAAATCATCGGATTGGTTTGATTTATTGGCATGTTGTTCTTCTTGTTGCCATCCAATTCTCACATCGTTTTCGCCCTATATATTTGACTTCCTTTCGCTCACTTTCACATATTACGACCAATCCTATTCTGATTCCATTTCACCTAATTTTCAGACATGAACCGGTGCGTTTTTCTCGCTCTGTTACCTCTTATCACAGCTCTCCCAGTCTCAGTCAACATCGATGATCAAGCAGTTAGTTTTTTTTAAAATTCATGTCTAAAAATTTGACTCAAATCTTTCAGGCAGTAAATTTGGGAGCCTACGACAGAGCACGATTTGATTTGGTTGAGACATTCCACCCACTTCAACCAGCATCAGCTGTGTCAAGTAAGTTGAAAAAAAAACAAAAAATGAGAGATCAGAAAATTATTATTGGGAAATGAGAAATACGATATTGAATGGGCACCAACAACTCCTACTACTACTAGTTTTCAAATCATTCAACAGAAACTCGACACCTACCTTGAATCTATTCGTTGGACACAGACTAATTGTGAACAAATATTTTGGCTGATTTTGCCTCTTTTTTCGTTTTTATTGTTCTCTAGAATAACGAGAACTATTGGGATTTGAATAGAAGGAAAGGGAGAGTTTTTAGATTTAGAATAGGATTGAGGTTTCGAGTTCTTGGAAAGCAATAAACCAGTAACATTTGGAGGAATGGGTTTCTAACATTGAATAAGTGTTTTTGGTTTTTCGAGTCAAATCTCGAACTTTTTATGGACGCTTTGATGAGATAACAAGTACAAAATTTTCCAAAATTTCAATCTTGAGATTTCTTCTTAAAAATTAGCCGATTTTCAAGTCTAGAGATCGAAAAAATTGCAGATGACCAAATTGCTGAAGTACGTGCTAAAGCAGCCGGAGTAAAGCAGAACGAAGCATCAATTTCAATCGACTTGCCAACGCAGATTCTTTCCGGAAATTTGGCAAGAACCCCAGAAAGTAAGCAACTAACAGAAAATCTCTGCTCCCCCTCTAGATGTAAAAACAAAGCAAAACTGAAATATCAGTGTTGTGTGTGGGAGATATGTGGGAATACCAAGTCAGTTGGGAAAGGGAGAAATAGGGACGTTTTAACAAAATTACTATCGGTTTAAGACGCCTGAGCAAGGAGGAAAAGGAGCAAGAATAGGCAGAAAAAAGAAGAAAAAAGGCGGAGGAACAACAGAGAATATTTTTGAGGGGTAGGGAACCAAGGAATAAAAGACAGTGAATTAGTTAGTGAAAGAGGACACCAAAACGGGTAAACTTTAGGGATCATATAAACTAATTATATTTTGAAAGTTACTGTCATTGGGAATAATCCGTTGAGGGAAGATTAGGCCTTCAAGGTAGTCTTCAGAAGAGATTCTGGGATGATGGGAACAGAATTTCGAAAATTTCGAGCATTTTCGGAGTTTGAGCTTTTGGACTACGATATGCCAAAGTCTCATTAGGGGTCGGGTCTCGAGCGGAATTACTTTTAGGTTTTTTTGCGTTTTCGAAATCCGATTTTCAACTTTTTACGATTCGGTGATTGGAAAGTGTGATTCTAATATTTTTAATATCGGAATAATTCGGAATTCCGAAATTTCAAAGTTTTGGGAGTCGGAAATTTCGTGATTCCAACAAATAAAGACCAACAAACATTTTATAAGACGGTTTTCTAGCTGTTCTTTTTTCTGAGAAAATCAGAAAGCCAATGAAACTAAAGAAGATCTCACCAAATTTAGTGACGATCCATATTAACCGGAACGATTTCCTATTTCAGCGCCATTTTTTCAAGTTCCTTCTCTGCAAAAAAAATCCCGGATAAAATTACAACTAAACATAGTGAATAAGTGGGGAAAAAGAAGGAAATCCTAAAACGAAGATATGAAAAGCAACACATGGGGGAGGCTATAATTCGATTTGATTCTCAAGTTTCAATATATTTTTTTGATTCCCTCGAGAGATAAATGTCTCGTCGGAGCGTCTCTCAATTCTTTAATCCCAGCTTTATCTGTTTTCGAAAAAAAAAAGAAACCATATTTTCAGGATTGGCGTTCGGAGAGTGGACAGAGTGGACTGCGTGGTCTGTATGTCAGAATGGAGAAAGATCCAGAGTTCGTACTTGTGTCTCCAGAAGACCAGCTCTTCGTGTTGTCTGTCACGGAGATGCCATTGAGGTGAATTAATGATCAATATTTCATACTGAATAATTTTTCATTTTCAGATCGAGAAATGCTACGTGGATGCCGGAGAAGGACACATTCCAGTAGCCGCTGATCCATGGTCGATCGAGAGGGAAATCAGCGGAGATTTTGCTTAAATTCCTAAAAAAAGAACATCTGAAAATAGAGACCTCATAATTAATAATACATCACATTCTCACAATCAGTTCTCGAATTGTATGCACTAATTGTTTCTTTTTCTTTTTTATTGAATTCAATCTAATAATAATTTATTAAAGATTTTTGTCTTGTGTTCAGTTCATAAATCTCAACTTGAGCACTATGAAGAAAGACAGTTTTCTGTGAAAGATTAGAAGGAAACAATCACGAAAATTTCATTGGCATAAAATTAAAAAGCGCATTTTTGAGATCAAAAATAACTTCACTGGTATTTCATCATTCTCTTGAAAAACATTCTGACTATTGTCCTTGACTTGGTTTGATTGCTTCCACTGATGAAAATTGAATCACGAAATATCGGACGAGGAATAGAGCAACTATTGGAACTAGTCGAGAAGCTGATTGTGCTTTACACAGGATTTGAAATAAAATTGTCATTTCGGTGTTTGAAAATCGAGAATGAAAGAAGTGGTAGAAAGTAGGTAAATACGGGACAACGACAGAGAGAAGAAGAAAGAGAATAGATTGCATCGTGAAGTTCAGAGTGTAATCTTGTTTCTCTCTTTTCAGATGACCTCTCCATTTTACCCTCTTCCAACCCTCTCTCGACGTCCTTTGTCTGCCACGAAAACGACGAATTTTTTTGTGTTACCTGTCAACTGCCGGCAGCCGGTTTTGGACAATGCATATAATGTAATAAAGTGGTAAAATAGGAAATTGGATATTCGGTTATAATACATTCATATCACATTCAAAACAGTCAATTACAGAAGAAATAGGATGATTGAAATTGTAAACCAATTCTGGTTTACACTTTGAGAAGTATTACTACTCTTCTAGGCAACAAGATCACAAAGACTGAAAGTACCTACTCAGTTTCACTATTTCTTACCCCGAGAGAGTCTAAAAAGCGTTCTTCGGGTGAATTGATTCAAAAGGAAATGAAAAGTGGTTTCAGAATTTGGATGTCCTTCTGATGTACCGTAAACAATTTAATAGACTGCCATCGAAACCGTCAATTTTGAGTTCATGTATCTCATTATCTGTAAAAGAAATCAGAAAGTTGTCAACTGCAGGCTCTGAAACGAACCGTACAGACCTACTGATTTACACAGTGTAGAAAAATGTGTAGAGCAAAGAAAAAAATCAAAAAAATTGGCGAAATTTCGAAAAATCGAAAAATCGCTTCTCATCCATTTCTGGAAACTTCTGGAATGTTCTCGAATATTTTGTTCAGATTCTCGCCATAACTGAATACTCCGAAAATCTACCGATTTGCTCACGAGAAAAATCTGTTTTTTATTAGAATTTTGCAAAATTTTCAAACCTTTCTAAGTTTCCTTGCTATCTTCAAAGAATTTTTCTCGATTTTTCCGGTATTTTGTCTGAAATTTAATGGAACGGTTTCCGTGAAGATTACAGTAGCTTAATGTAGAAAATTGGTTTCCTTTTGAAATATTTAGATTTTTGGCAGATCAAAATGCACGTCAAAATGCAGAAAATCTTCGGGAACACTATCCTGTCAAATTTCAGACAAAAATTTGGACAAATCAAAAAATTATCAAAAATCGCTGAAAAACCTGAAAAGGTCTAAAAATTTTGCAAAAAATTGAAGAAAAAAATATATTATTTTTCTCTCGAGCATTTGCCTTTGAGGAGGAATTCAGGTCTCAAAACGCATGTATATCATTTTTGTGCTAATCACTTTTTGATATCTTTTACAGAACATGAAATATATAGGCTTAAAATAGACGGTCTCTATTATATGTTAGAATGTTTACAGTATTTCAGCTTCACAAGAACTCAATAAAAAGCCGGAACAGATATTCTTGGCAATAAGGTTTTGTAATTTGTCCAAAATAAATCAGCGGACCGATTCCTTACAAACGGATTGAAATTTCCTACATATGTCTTTTCCGAACAATTCTTCACATTTTTTTAGAATAGAACATCTCCACAATGGTCAATTTTCTGAACCTCCCTATTAAAAGTTTGAATTCCACTTTGGTATAATTTGATACCTCTCACCTCCACAAGAAACAAATAGCCAACAAAGTCAACATTGATCTTTCCCTCCGCCCTCCGAACGGTCAGTCAAAGATGAGAGCTCGCCAGAGTATGCTTACTTTATTAACATTTTCTATTTTATTCCCTTTATTAAAATGCACTGGCTACTTGGAACTCCGCCTAACAAGTCCTTATGTACGCGTTCTGAACACTACAGTTGAATTGACTGTTGGAGGAAGAAAAAGTTTCTACAAAGTTCCATTGTCCCCTTATTATGAATTAGCACTGACAAACGTGCCAATGGAGTTTGATGAACCTGCCAGTATTATTATCAGAAGTGGTCCAGTAAAAGAAATTGGGCTGACAGATTCTGTAATCAATCCGAAAATCTTCTCTACCCAAAAAATGAGCATCGTTACACCGAAAGCAGGATTACCATTCAGTGGATTCAGAATAGATATCAAATGTGATACGTAAGTTCAATGGTCTGTGCTTCAACTAGTTCGAAAATTTTCAGGAATTATTTTGGGGCTCATTGCGATAAGTTCTGTGATGAGGAACAAGCGAGATCTATGGGTCGACGGTGTAACATTCTTGGTAATATCGGTTGTCCAATTGGGTTCCGCGGATCAAAATGTGATATCGAATTGCCAATTGATAGTGGAATCTGTAAATGTAAAAACGGAGGAAAATGTGTGAATTCGTTTGATTCAAAAATGACAGCCGATTTTCCAATATGTGAATGCCTACATGGATTCGAAGGGGCTGCTTGTGAGAAGACAATGAAGTTATTCGAACCCAAAATCTCCACTCGCCTGTTTGAATCGACTTCTCGTTTTCATGATTTGAGCAATATATCCGTTGATAATCAATTGTATGACGTGAACATTGATAGATCCGCCACACTAATATCTCCCACTTTTTATATTTCACAACAAGGTGCTTCAAGTGGAAAAGCTCATCGAGCACCTAGAAAACAAACTACTACGGTTATTTTTGATCCAGTAACACTTTCATTTCATTCTGCTCAGCCACGAGTAGACTCCTCTCGTAATTACCCAAAATTCAATCGACCAGTTCGTAAAAATTATTTACCTACAAAAAATACTGTATAATATTCATTCAATGTCTTATTTTTTAGGTTAATGTTCATTTTTTTTTTCTCATCTGTCTCTTTTTAGAGTTGTTTAAAATAAAAAAGTTTAATTCCAAAAATGGATCGTATATCCTGTCACAGTATCAAAAGTGGAATATCGTGAGATGACAATTCCGGTCAAGTAGAAAGACATACAGTTTCGGGAGCTTAGCCAAATACGAGAAAAAAGGTGTTGCACCTAAGCCGATGTCTCTCAAAATGTTTTCTTGATTCGAAATGTGACGAAAACAAACATTTTCTTATTTATGGTTAGAAAAAATTTATCTTTTTTTGGAGTAGAGGTATTCTTCAAAATTTGAGAATCAATGATCGAGAACCACCAGTGTATGTTGTACTATTTTTTATGTATTAGGTTGTTCAAAAAGTCTTTTCCATTTTTAGCGTCAGATTCATTCGATATAAAAAAGGTCAAAACGATGTCAGATAAATTGAAGATAATGACCATTGTTATCAGTGACTATCTGCCAACGTCCCACCAAATTGTGGATGCCTTCCTTCCAGAACTCCGGTCACAGCGCATTGAAAATCAGGTCAACCCATTTTTGACATCATGCTTTGAAGTGAATTTTTTTCAATCAAGATGTAGGTAGAAATGGCTGGATAGGGGGTAGTCAGACAGTACAAGGTTTGGACTATACTGTAGATAAGACAGAACCGTTTAGCCGTATCCAGTGAGATCGGTCTCCGTTCTCCTTCCCGCATGAGGTTGCGAATTTCGATTTTGAAAATAAACCTTTGTTTTTCTCTCCAATGGAGACCCACATGGAGTGTGAGTTATGTCACCAGACAAAAATAGCTATCGGTCATAAAAGTGACACTATTATCTGGCAGCTCCCAATACTCCACTCCTTGGTAGACATCCATCCCGAAAACATCTCATTTTTAACGTTAATTTCACGTTTCGGGACGTCTGGTGGTTGAGTGCCTTTGTCAACCCACTTGGATTGTTGTTTATAGTAATCATACATTACCCATTTATCGCCACTAGTAATGATTTAACTTCAACATTCATGTGTGCAACGCAGGATGAGAAGATTCAAACAGGTGCCTACACATGAAACAAAGTTACTTTGAGCGAAAAGGTGTGATCCATATCTTCCCACTTTTTTTACTTTGCCGAGAGTTCCCAATTTATGGCTTTTTGACGAAAGGCTTGCCACTGATGTACTTGATATATCCCGCACAATTTGAGACGGGTCCCTTTCAATCCCGGTTTTTAATGCGCCCAAATCTGAGCCCGTATGCTTTTTTGGAGGTGGATTTTCGTCATTTCAGTTGATCTGAGGTCAGATAGAAATACAAATAAAATGGTAGTCCAAAAATGGAAATTATTAGAGGCGAAAACGATGGGCATATCCCACTGCACGAAAAGAGGAGAATGATCTCCGTTGGGGTGTAGACACTATTAGACCTCATCAGCATACTGATAAAACGACAACTTCCTCGCTTTTATCCCCTTCAAGAAAACGAAGTTTGAAAACAACATATCAAAAGTGGATAGGACTTTCCGAACAACCTAATAGATGTCATTAACACTAAATGCTACAAATCAGATTAAAAAATTAAATACGTTAGTTACAATGGGATGAATTGTAAGGAGCGGAGCGACGAAAACGCGCCAAAGGCCCGCCAGTCTTCTCAACAAAGGAAGAACTGAAGAAGGAAGTATTTTTAATCAATATCGAGACAACAGTCATTTGTATTTTTTTGAAGAAAACAGACAGAAAACAGAAAACACAACCTTTCTCTCGCCCTACATCCAACATCTTCATTTAGAAGTATTGATTCAATTGGTCACTTCTTTTTTTGATATGTTATCTCGCCTCTTCATTTTCTCTCTATTATTCTGCTTTTCTTTTGCTGCTGATGGAATATTCGAAGCAGTAATCGAAAGTTACAAAGATGCTCTCCCTCCGAAAGTGGTTGAAGCTTTTGATAATCTGAGTCCTGAGGAGAGTGCAATTATGAAAGAAGTCTTCATGAATTATGATAAATTCACAAGTATTGCTGACCTCATTGTGGCAATCAAGAAGAAATCTGAATCTCTTGGATCGTTGTTTGAGAAGCTGTACATTGAAGTGGACGCTGAAATTCAAACATTGACTCCTGAAACTAAAAAGTTTGTGACTGAATTGCTGGGAATTGGACGCGCAATTTACACTGCTCAAATAGTTGGAGTTCCACTTGACCCCAAAGAAGTTCTTCCAGTTTTCGCAAAGTATGATTTTTAGGAATTAACTTTCTTCTCAATCAGTTTTGTTTCAGGCAATTCCCATCATTCAAATCTCTTCCGGATACTAACAAAGAAGAATTGAAGAACGCATTCCTCGGTCTTTACAAATTCGCATCCAATGATAAAATCAAGGTCGAGATAGATAAGTTGTTGTGATAACATTGACTGTGATTTGTGTTTTCTTGGTTGTTTTTTGTTTAACAACAATTTTCAAAGATAAAGAATTTATTAGCTTCTATAAAAGTTTTCATGAAAATGTACATTATTATAATTTAATGCTCATCGTTAGTCTTCTCGAGAAGTTTCGAAATAAGAGTTTGAACTTTATCGTCCTCCATAAATTTAACGACTCCACTGAAATTCTTTTTCAATTCTTCCTTATCTTCAGGTTTAAGAGCCTTGTAGGAGGCGGCTTGACTGAAAACAAAACATATATCCGATATTATAATTCTGAAATGACACTTACGTCTCGATGAGAAGCTTGATTTCGGAGCTGCTAATTTTCTCTCCATTGACAGATCTGGCATACAATCCTCTTCCACCGGCAATCAATTCTTGAATGAATGCTTTTGGCTCCTCACTCATTCCATTGATCTTCTTTTGCAATTTAGCCTGAAGCTTCTCAGCTTTCTCTCCCAATTCTGGTGATTTTTCCTTCAGAGCAGCAATTAATTGGTCTTCGTTCTTGAAATCCTTGTAGTTCTTGAAAACATCTTTCACTTTTTCCTTCTCATCACCAGACAAGTCCTTGTAGGCTTCAACGACTTCAGAAGGGAGAATATCCTTATGTTCCTTGAGAAGTTGAGTGAATAGGGATGGTTCTCCGGTTGGTGCAGCCAGTGAAAAGCCAACGAATGCAACGAAAAAGAGGTTGAATGCAAGAAGACGTGACATGTTGATGTTGCTCATCGTTTCTATCAAAACTCTTTTATACTCAAGTTTTGTGATTTGTTCAATGGGCGGTCCGTGCTGTTTTCGATAAACATGATGTCAATTCTTGGAGAAGGCTACTAAGATTTTGTAGCCTCCATGGACATTGTTCCTTACAACGACCATTGTCTCTTCAGATGGTTCATCCAATCAAGGACAATTCTGTTTGTTTTCTGAAGATGGTGTTTTAGCATAAGAGATCATCTCGCAGAGGTTAAACAACGTTTTGTTTTTGTTTTCAAATGTTGAATGTTGGATATATGTATGCAAGTTTACGATGTGACCATACACACAAACTGTCAATCAGATAAAAAAGTTTTGAAAATCACAAAAACTACAATTAAAACTATGGAAAACAAGGAAAACTCTGGAGAAATTCTCTGAAAAAAACCACCTAAAGCTTCACCGTAACAGAAGTCTTGAGAAACAGAACATTTCTAGAACATTTCAAAAAAAAAGTATTCTTGATTAAAACACATTGAAGTGGTAAGAAACTCAGTATACTAAAATGTTTCTATTTTTGAAATTATAACTTTTGGGAACTCTAAATCACGAAAATTTCTTCAATACCAAAGGACCACAAAGGATGAGTTTTTTTTCACCACATGTACCCATTCAGATATTTTCTTGTGTGCGATAGGTGTCGGCCAAAAAAATATAAAAATTGAGATTCGCGATCCAGGTTTAGTCTTCATTATATTACTCATATGGTTCCTCTATTTTTCTAAATTTTCCTAATTTTCTTTTTATTTTCAATTTTCCAAAAAAATTGCTATCGAATTCCTAAAAGTTGGTTAGCTAATAAGAAGAGATGTATATGAAAACTGAAATTTCGAAAAATGCTTTCAGGTTGGGATATGATACGGGGAAGGGCGAGAGTAAAAGAAAAAGAAGAGCAATTAAGAAAAGAACGAAAATTGAAAAATCCTTGAAAAACCTAGAAAAAGAAAACAATTTAGAAATAGGAAATTGAATGAAAGTTATAAATTTCCAAAAGTAGTGAACATGAAACTATTGAAATGCTTCATGGATTTCTGTATTTTTTGTTTGTTTCAAATCGATTTTCAAAATAGTTCCAAGCGATTGAACATTGAAACTTTTGAGATTTCTGACCGATAGTTTGTTTTTCCATGAGATATAAATTTTGAATTTTAAGGGCTGTCACTCTTTCTTTTTTTCTATTCATTTCACAGCGATCAGGGATAAAATGAATACAAATTCTTCAAATCGGGAAGACGGAATAAAGTATATTCAGAGAAAAAAAATCGGGAAATTTTTGAATTTCTAGAATTGTATGAAAATGGTTTTTCAAAAACTGATTAATCTGATTATTTTAAAGGGGTTTCATGGGAATTCTAAACTTTTGCCACTTTTTGGTTTAACAAAGGAAGTGTTTTCAGGAAAGCGTTAAGAATTGTCAAGTTAATCTAGTGAAAAACAAATTATGATCTCTGAAAGAGATTTCTGTACTAATTTTCAGATTTCGCAGTACTTTTTGAAAGTGTTCTTTTTGATAGTCTTCTTAATGCGAATCGTATTTTTTATGTTATTTGTAATCTGAAAAAAATGTATTTTTTTCAACAAAAGAATTTTTTTTTTGAAATTATCCGGAAGACTAAAAAAGGAGTTCCGTTCATCCCTGCTCTTGGAAAACCGTATTCTTTGAGATATACTGGGATTACTGATTGTTCATCTTCGTATAGAAATTAAAATGCAGACTTGTCAATAATGATGAAGTGGGGACTGAAATATCACTTTGAATTACGTGTCTGTTACAATTATTTATTCTTTAACATGTACAGAAAAATTAACTGACCTAATAAGACAACATTATCACATTTGTGGTTTTGAGAAATTTCCAAAACACAAATCACAATTTTGAAACCTTTTTATATTTTTTTAATATGTGAAGATGAGTTTTCAGTTTGAAACATTACAATATAAAGTTATCTTATAGTTAGAGCGGGTCCATTTCGATATCTTCATTTTCCCATTTCATCCATTCCTCCCATTCCAGCCATTCCAGCCATTCCACCGCCACCTAAAAATCGTTGGAGCATTTGAGCACGAGCTTGTTGCATAAATTCGAAAATTTGTGGAAAAGTGGACTGCAGTTCTTGTTGGGCATATGGTGATAAAAATCTATAATGTTGTGCAACTCTGAAAATAAACATATTTGATCCGTTAAAAAAAGAATCTACCGTACCCCATTCCGATTTGTCTCAATTGAAATCTATCCATCTGTTGTCCTTTCAGGCGTTGGGCATAAACTTCTCTTCCGGCGGCTTTCAAACTGTCCACAAATCTCTTTGATTCATCACTCAAACCAGCCACTTTTTTTTTCAACTCGATCATTTTTCTCTCTACTCGTGATCCAAGAACTGGATTGATCTGTTTCAGATCATTAATCATTTCCTGCTCGTTTTGATGATTTCGGTAATTGCTGAACACTGTGTTCAAGTCATTCTTATCTTTTGGGCTGACTGTAGGCCTCTACGAGTTCCTTATCTTTGGGCTGACTGTAGGCCTCTACGAGTTCGTTACTGTAGGCCTCTACGAGTTCCTTCGGAAGTAGATTTTTGAATCTTTGGAATCCTTCGGCATTGTTTTCTCCAAATGGGAAAGCTGACGAAGAATAAACCACCAAGAGAATAACAGTTGTGAAAAGAATACAGTGTTTCATTGTGAGAACTGATTTGCAAGAATTTTTGATGCCCTATTTATTCTAACTCCATTCTGTGTCTTACCACTAAAATTCCCCCCTCTTCACAAATTTCTTCGACGAAAACACTTGCAATTTTATGATTTGGGATACATCTTTTGAGACCAATTTTCTGGTCTGGGCAAAAACTTTTGGAAATTTTTGATCGCATCAAACATTGAGTACAAAACAACATTGAATCACTACAAATAAATTAGAAATATTATTCTGGTACAAAGAAATCGGAACTGTGGAAGAGGAACGGAGACCTAAAGTCCACAGCGACAACTACCGTAACCAAAAAATAAGTTTTCAGGATTGAAGAGGGAGACTTTCTCGTTTTTCACTGCTTGCCGTCGAGTTTCCTGTTATTTTTCACCAAACCAGTCGGAAACTAAAAAAATTTATAGTTAAAGATTGACTGAAAACCCAAGATATTTCTCCGAAAAATTTCTCCGAAATTTCTCCGAAATTTTTTTCCGAAATTATTTTCTCGATTTAAATCGAGAAAATAATTTCGGAAAATAAAAATATTTCCAGGTTACATTGTGGTACCTTCGGCGATCGGCGTTTCTCTTCAACAGCTCTTTTTTTTTCGTACCAAAATAAAAAATTTCGGCTAATTATTTAAATTATTTTGCAGGATGCTCTTCTTTCCGGAAACCCAATCGAACTTTTTTCATTCAAAATGAATCAAAAAAAGTTCTACAGTAATAAGTTTCATCGTGGCAGGACCCACCGAAACGGGAGAAACTCTGCGGCGGGAGTTATCGCTGTCAAATGGTAAAAATCAATTTTCTTCGTTTTTGCATGTTTGAAAAACAGGTTTTTTTCATGAAAAACTCTATTAAAGTGTTCAGATTTCAATTTATTCAAATTTTATTTAAAAGTCAGAGTTTCGTCTGCTATTTTTAACCTTAAAAACAGCGAAAAAGCATTCTCATCGACACTCGTCAAAAACATCACTCGTTGCATGTTCCTCGTCTGTCCGTTTGTCACATCTGTTCTTACCAATCGTTCACCATTTATTCACCATTAAATACACCATCCACCAAGGAGAAGAAGAGACGCAGTCTGTTAAACAGTCTCCCGTTGCGCGTACGTTTGAATTTGAGAGCTTCTTTCTGCCTGTCCGACCTCCAAAATGTTGCTTTGTCGCTAATAAATCATTCCGTTTGACAGTTTTTTCTGTTAGTTTTCTTTGGTACTAAACTTCTGATCAAGATCATTTTCCGCTTCTCCGTTTACTCAATTAAGAGAAAAGATGGGAAACAGTTGTAAATCACCAGAATATCAGAACATCCTTTTCTAGGCGTCCATTTTCTTTTCCCAAGGCTATCGCCTTCCCGATATAAGGTATTTTATCACCAATTTGTCATCAGCTTGAAGACCATTTTCTGTGAATGTGGTCATCGTAAACCGGCTGCACTTTAGTTCATTCGAGGCCCACTTCATTTTCTCATAATGTTCCACCCACTGATTCTCCATGAGAATGCTGTCGTTTTGGTATCAGATTTTCATTCTCCTTGGAGATTTCGTCAGCGCTGCTGAAACTACGACTCGCAGATGCTTCTCTGTATATTTTTGTTTAGCGGCTTCGTTTTAGACTTCCCAAAATACACAAACGTTTGCTGGGAAAGTGTTTTTGTCTTGAAATTTTCTTGAAGTTTCTTTTTTATTAGCCGAAATTTCGAGTATCCCATCGTTGAATACAGGCAATAAAAACAGTCAGCGTTTCACTCTCTTTAGCTTTCCTCTTTCTCATTTTTTTACTTGCTAGGAGAGGCTCGCTTGTCGTTTCGACAGTTCAACAGCAAAGCTTTTGCTGTGCTTTACATATTCCACGCAGTTTCAAGACTCTTATTCTAGGTTTTATTGTTTTTATTGGCAGATCAAAGGGGTTTTTGCATATATTCTCCTAAAAAAAACCACATTTTACTAGAGCTGCAAAGTTCCATTGACAGCAATCTACTTTTTTGAGCTACCACCTGTATATTTCATTGTTGTGGATATGTGGCTTGACAGGCGTGAGGTGTGCAGAACTAACTATTCAGCTAATCAGCAGTCAGCCGATTCGCATTCGTTTCACTATTTTTGGCGCTCAAAGTATGAGAGTTAATATTCTCTTTTCTAAGGCGCCTTTTTCCAATAATGACAGGGACCTGTCACCTCGTCTTCGCTGCAAGAGTGATCGCTTTCCTGAAAAAGAAAATTCTTTGAAACGGAACGGAAAAGTCTCGAAGACATATAATTTCGGCCTATTATCCTTGTCAGAGAAAAAGGTGACTATGGAAGTGTAGGAAGGCGACAAATAAATTCTACGTTTCCCTATGTTTTTCTGTTCTTCTATATTTATCATCTGCGTCGATGCTAACTGGTTGACGATCCTCCAAATATGCATAATCTTTCCGACAAAAAAATCAGCCACGAATGTCGGCATTCGATTGCTTTTGACTCACAAAACATCATAATATTTGGAATGTGTTTCTAATTGCAATTTATTGCATATGATGTTGCTTTTTTTGTTTGCTTTTCGTTTAACTTAATATGTTCAGACCGCCAAAAAAGATAACAATGCCACCTTCTCCTAATCTTTCATCACTGAAACCACCCCCGATGCACACACACACACACCCCATCATATGTTATTTTCAGCTGTTCCACGTCGACCTCTTCATATGGCGAAGAAACGCACAAACTCGAAAAAGAACCAGAAGCGGAATGATCAGACGGCCGGATCTCAAAGTATGTTTTGACCTATTGTCAGAAACACTCCAGAATACTCTTTAGAAAAAAACAACTCTTTTTTTCAGATACAAAAAGTCCACCACATTCTGATGCAAGTAGGCCAGCCAGTCGTGTGAGCAATCCGTCAGATGTGGAGAACTCAGGGCAGAAAAATATACCGATGAGAAAGAAACCCATTTCACAGAAATCAACGCAGATATTTGGAAACAAGGCGTCCCAGATGAACATTCCTGCGAAAATAGTTGCCAATAAGCCGGTCGAGAGCACGGTTAACGAGCGTTGTGTTGATCTTGGACCCATGTCTTCTACTTCTTCGAGTCGTCTAGATGACACCGACGTTCATATCAGGCATATAGTAGCTAACTTCAGGTACAACTTTTCCATTTTTTTTAAATTTAATTGATAGTTGATAGTTTATTTAAGAGGTAACACGAAGAAGTTGGAAGCGATTGCTGATATCAACTTTATGATTGACAGCACAAGTTCATACCTTCAGCGATTCACCATTCGGAACAAACTTCGTTGTTAGTAGTCATGCGTTAATTTATATGTCAATTGTTATTTTTAGCAAACGGACTACTCTCAGCATTGGCTGCTCACGTGGATTGTGCACATGTGGACGAGGAAGTCGACGCTCAAGTACGAACATACCTAGAATCGGAGAAAAGAGATGCTCGACTCTTGGGTTTGCCGGATGATAGTAGGAGTCCTATAGAAGCTTTGGCCAAAGTTATGCTGAGAACTACTGACCTGCAATGGAAGAAAATGGTTAGCTTGCAAAATTTCATCCCCAAAGTGGCAAAAAGATGCGGAAAAAATACTAAACATACTGAAAGACTGATTTTAGCTTCATGCGATGTTAAGAATAAGGTTCTAATGTGTCAAACTTTCTCAGGTTAACGTGCTGGATTTCATCGGATGCTCAGAAAAACTCGAGGAATGCATAGCGACACTCTCCAACGTACAGAATGATAGAAAGGACAGGAAAGACTCGGAAGTGCAGACTGATAAAATGAAAGGATACGCAGGACTACCCAGAGAACCGTCTCTTGCGCTTTCCACCACAATTCCAGAGGAATCAGCTGTGTTTTGTGACTATTCAACTTCCGATGACGAGAGCAAATTGAGTCATTCGGACCCGACGACACCAGATGCCCTCATGAATCGGAACTTGAAAAAATGGGCGACAGCTACCGATTTGCCGTCACAAGCCAAAACAGGCGTCGATAATTCTTTCTTCCGATCGAGTTGTTCCGCTTCTACATTTTCTTCCGATGATGACGGACCATTGTCTCCAGCACACGACAGTGCGTTGCCGGCGATTAATGAAGTATTGGATTCCTCCGAAGAAACGGAAAGTAACGAGATGCACACTGGTCTCGATACGACACTTCCCGTGAAATTCGCAGACAGTGCGAATATTGCATTCATCGATGAAGCATCTTCAACGTCATCATTGTCAGATAATATGGGTTTCAGTGAGATAATGACGATGAGTTTCGAAATGGTAGATTCTGAAGAGAAGAGTTGGGACAATATTCCTCCAATCAGCACGAACGCTCCACCTCCACCACCTCCACCTGTTTCGACAACATCGATGTTGCCACCGATCAGTTCAACAGCTCCACCACCACCACCCCTATCAAACGTTATTGCCCCGGTATCGAGCAATGCCCCACCTCCACCACCGCCTCCTCGAATCCCAGGAATGGCTCCCTTGGCGACAAATGCTCCCCCACCTCCGACGCTCCCTCCAATGCCTGCTGGAATGGCTCCTCTCTCTAGAAATGCTCCTCCCCCTCCACCACCGCCAACAGGTTCTACAGGTGGACCTCCCCCTGCTCCCCCTTTGCCACTCGACATGCTAAAAGGAGCTGCAGCTGGATTGAGAACTGTACCAGGAGGACCTCCACCACCTCCACCACCTCCGCCTCCTTCTTTTATGTTCAACGGAAACGCATCGAACGCGTTCAGTCCAGGTTCTGCAACTTCGCCAGTTCTATCTCCTGGAATTGTCAAATCAGCAGTTGTGTACAGGAAACAGAAAAAGACAGCGTTCGTTCGTTGGCCTAAACTGACGAACCAAATGCAAGATGCAGGAACTGTATTCAACGATTCCTTGTGCGTTGATTTTAATGAAGAGGAACGATCCAAGGTAAAATAGAATTATTTTTGCCAAATAAAGTTTCTTTCTAGATGGAAGAAGTTTTCGAAGAAGCTCCAATCAAGCAGTTGAACAGGAAGATTGGTGGATCCGTTGGACGAGTCTTTGGAAAATCGCTCAGAGCTACAACATCGTCGTCGGATGTCAATACAATCTCTGCTCGGTCTCCGACAACTCAACAGGTGCTTGTATCTCCCAAAGCATTGACAATTGAGATCCTGATCAAGAAGTAAAAATTCTCAATAAAACCAGACATATGAGTTGATATTTTAGATTAAAACCTCTGGATTTCACCGAATTGATAGACAAGCTAGAGCGAAACGAGACGGATGGAATAAAAGTCGACCTGATGACAACACTCAACAAAAATTTCCCCGATAAAGACGAACTAGATCCATTCCTGAAAGTGGAGTATCGTACACTGACGCATGCCAGCGATCAGTTCTGCTGGCATATTGCTCGAAACAAACACCTGCGATTGCGTATCGAACTTTTCATAACGAAGGAAAACTTGACAGCAGAGGTAGGTTTGAAAGAAAAAGAAACTTAGTTGATATCTTCTCAATTACAGATTGGCAAATTTCAAACACAGATCGAATTGCTTCAGTCTGGTTGCACTTTAGCTCGTGGAGAGGTCATCCAAGTACTACTACGAAAGTGCTTGCAATATGGAAACTATCTCAATCAAGGATCGATGTTCGCTGAAGCAGCAGGATTCCAGTTCAGCTATCTGCTACAGCTACTGCAGATGAAGGGAAAAGGACAGCACGTTTCTGTGAAGCTTGTCGACCTCATTGTAGCATTTTGTGATCTACAAACAAATCAGCTTGAAGAAATCCAAGCGAAAATGGTTTCTGTGAGACCTTTGAATCTGAAAGATCTGGAGGACGCCGTTGGGCAGGTTCAGCGAACGATTCGCAAACTTGATGGTCAAATGAGAGCCTCGAATGTTGAGCCCTTGATTGCTGCCTATCAACCATTCATGGAACAGACTAGCGAAAAATTACAAAATGTGCAAAATGGACTTTCCGATGTGAAGACTCGTGAGATGGAGCTGCAAGTATACTTGTGCGCAGGCAATATGACACTGCAAGCAATTTTCGAAACCCTCGAACAAAGCATGAAAATTGTGATGGACGCAGTCAAGGTTTTCTTAACCATGAAGCCAATTTCATATTTCTAAAATTCCTTTTTTCAGCAAGCAGCTTCGAAAGCTCGCGTTACACGTGCCTCGTCAATGGTATCCCTCTCGACGACTTCTGTTTCACAACGATCGTTGAGAGAAGGGGAAATCTTGGCTAGGAAATCGATGGCGTTGAAAAGTCGTGATCTTCCAGTTGAAGAATTGAAGAAGTTCTTCTCCCACTCGTCTTTTGGCCCACAAAGGACCAAGAAGATACCAGCGTCACCACTCACAACTTCTGTTAGTTTTTAGTACTATGACTCCAAATCGAAATCACCGTTGTAGAATATATCGCCTACTCGAACGATTCGGCGAAGAAGCGGGGAATCATTCAAGGAGCAGCAAGATGAAGCTAAATGCCAAGAAAACAACGAAGACAAAGATTCAGATCGTCAACTTCCAACAGCTCCCTTGACGCCGGTGGAACCGCCGTCAGTGTCGTCTCTACGTCGAGATATTCGAGATCTTTCGTCTCTTGTTGGCAGTCCAGTGTGATATAAAACCCGCAAGACGTTCATACACTATTCCGTTTTCAAGCGCTAGAATTTAGTCAAATATTACTCATTTATGTTTTTCTCCCGTTTAGATGCTCATCACTCTTATGCATCTTATAGCTCAATTCCCATATACATCTTCCCTGTACCCGTATCCCTTGTCGTTATCTACTGGTCCGCTTTCCATACCTGTAACTGGTTCATGTTTTTTGCTGACCGCATTTTTTTCATTTGTATTTTTATGGATAGAATCGGAGATTTTTACCGTTTTTCGTGCTTTTATTTTTTCTGAATAAAGTAAATCATTTATTAAGTTTGCTTTATAAGCCCGTTATACACTAGCGTTGATAAGATTTGTAAATTCAAAAGCGGGAGATTTTTTGGTATAAGTTCTTAGGAAAGAGGATGGCAAATTGAATCAAAATAATAAAAAAGTTCAGCTGTTCAAGCCCAGCTTCCACCGCCACCGCGATCTTTAACCTCTTGGGATGGATACAATCCACCTCCACCTTGTCCGTTGTTGTCGTCATAGACTGGTTGATCTTGATTGTTTCCCTGGTTTCCACCACTGCCTTGGTATCCGTATCCACGATTTCCGCTTCCCATTCCGCCACCTAAAAATGCAAACTTGGTTTCTGCAATACGAATATCGCTGACCTCCTCCGCCGCCTCCACGGTTAGAAAGGAAACGTCCGAGCATTGATCCGGCTGCAGCTCCTCCTCCAGATGACAAAATATTTCTGAACATTCCTCCAGCCCCACCACCACCACCACCACCTTGTGGCTGAGGAGGAGGTTGTGGATAACCACCGCCGCCTCCACCATACGCTGTAATTTTTAGTTACTTTTTGTTCGAACCGTATCTTAATTTGCTTACGATCGGTCGGAACTTGTTGTCTGCTCTGATTTCCACCTCCACCGCCTCCTCCTCTTCCACGACAACAGCAACAATAAATGCAGCAACAACAGCACAACGTTGGAATGATAACACCGATGAGAAGAAGCCAGAACCATCCAGGAATCGACGGCATTTTGAATCCACCGCTTGGCTTTCCTCCGCTTCCAGGCCCCTGGTTTCCTGGTCCTTGATTCCCACGATTCGTTGGCTGACGCGGGGATCCTTGTTTAGAAAGAGCCTTATCCCATGTGGCTTGAAGAATGTTAGTGAGTGCCTGTTGGTAGTTCTTTTGTTGGAATAGAGATTTTTGCTGCATGAAGATTTGAGTGAATTCATCAGCGTACACTGGAACTTTGTCATCACGAGCCACCCAAAACTTCATATCATCTGTCGACACGACTATGACGACGGCTTTTTTGCATTGAGGATCTAATGTCCATTTGCGGAGCATATCGTTAGCCATGTTCTCTACAGCTTCAGTCGTTCCTCCTTTCACGTGTTTCGCTACTGCCATTGCAGCAGTAACTCCTTTTTTATCACAAAATGTTCTAGCGTTGTCTTGTCGGGTTCTGCTCTCCAGTTGTTTCAAATCGTGGTCGAGTCGGTATCTGGACTGCTCGGTAAGCACTCCATCTGGATCACAGATATTCGCAGTTGTTCGCATTTTGCATCTAAAACATGGAAAAATAGAATTTTTTAAATTCTAGTTCTCTGGTAATCGGTTTCCAACCAGATTCGGGAAAATTCCGGAGCAGAAATGGCTAGATCTGGTTAGAAAATTGTCCGAACCAGATTCGGGGAAATTCCGGAGCAAAAATGGCTAGATCTGGTTAGAAAATTGTCCGAACCAGGTTGGGACATTAGCTTTCTCGGTCGGATCTGGTCAGAAAATCACCGGATCTGGTCGGAAAATAAAAACTTTCCGAATCTGGTTGGAATTTTACTCGAATCTGGTTGGAAAATTGTCCGAAACTGGTTAGAAACCGATTACCAGAGTTTAAGAACTAACTCTTGAAACTGTCCGGCGGTTGGGTTGGGGAAGTTGTATGCATCCCATTCTGTGGCGAATATAAAATTCGGGAACACAAGTAGAAAGAAGAGGAGCCAGCTCATAGTGTGGCTGAAAAATAAGAAAATGGGTTAAGTTTTGAACAGAAAGAAACCAATTTCCGAGAAGAACGAGTTCGGAATAGTATTCTTCGAAAACAGAAAGAATTTCAGTAGTACTTTACACATGATTCAACAGAATTAAATGACCCATAGGTAAACTTCTGAACGGATTCATCTTGTCAATCATTGAATATGTCATTATTTATTTGAAAACCCAAAAAAAATGGGGGTACGACGAATTCGAACGTTTTCAAAATCGAACAGACCTAAAATCGAACAGATTCAATT